ACTCCTACCCTGCAACCCCCAGCTATTCCAGTCCTGGGCTCCCCACACAGCCAATGCCAATGCCCCTCATGCCTGTTTTATACAAAAATCAAAGGATCCCATACCAATTGAAACTCTGGAGTAAGTTAAGGTAGAAGACTAGAAGTAGGCGGGTTGCCATTTGGCCAGTACACCAAGTCAAACTTCTAAGTCTCACAAGTGGTACCATGGGATAGTTTCAGAACCAAAAGTGATCAGGGCCTTAGCTTTATTTCACATCTGGAGGACAGCTGATCCAGAAGCACAGCACCCCTCGGCACCACACTGGGGAATAGGGGTAAGTCCTCAGATTCAAGAGGTTGCAAAATTCTTTGGGTGATCCTAAGGCTACCTTTCCACAATTTCCAGTCCTTGGCTATTTGAGTTTGCTTTGAAATGCATTTCAATCTGTGAGGCCCCCCAAATCAATAGTAACCTGTGAACATTTTGGCCACAACTTTTTTTGTTGAGCAGTTGTAGCCCAAGAGCCATTTCCTATATGAAGAAACACTATAGAGAGAATGGCCACTAGAGGGCACCCAAGACACTACAGCTGTCAAGTCACCCTTTTATTCCCCACATGGTACCTTCTTTACAAATAAGTGACTATACGGTGACTCGGGGTAATCTCGATAAGTTGTGTCATCACTGGCAGCACAGACAAAACCAAGCCAAATTAGCCACCTGGGGAAGAGGAAGATAAACAATAGAGCGAGCACCTTGCGTGGCAGTCGGGGGTAGCCTGGGAGCATTGTCCAACTTCTCCCAGAGGTATGTCGGCCGAGGAATGCCTTCTTCTGAGTTGCAGGTCAGGGTAATATCGCTGCCGACATCCAGGGACCCCTGAATTCTGCAGAGCGGAGCGGAAGGAGGAACTACAATGAGAGCAGAGGGGAAAGCAACAGCACGTCAGGAGGCATATCCAACAACGGGCCTGGGTTCTTGCTGCTCACCCGCTGCCTGTGAGTGTGCCCCCAGGTCCGAGAAAACAGGATCACGGATGTGAGCAACAGCGTGCAGCTGCAAGGCAGTGAAAGGGCAGAATGGGAAGGGGGGAGACTGACACTGAAGCCACAGTTACAGAAGCCCCACTAAGACTCTGGCACGAAAAATGAAAGTGTAACTTTGTCCTGGCCACTTTGCATTTGACCCATCCCTGAGAAGAAGAGCATCTGCAGTTCCCTAGCTGGGATCACATGATAAATCCTTCCTTCATTAAATCCTCCTGCTCCACAGCATATGCTGGTTATGGGCTGAGGACAGGAAAACATTTGCCCCCATGAAACAGTAATGGCACATTGGCCAAGTGCATTACTGGGGGAGCTACAACCTACTATGAAGCACTCAGTACAGGCCACTTTTAGGGGAAGGAAGCCAGAGTTGAGGACCACGGGTCTGTTCCATTCTCTTGTTGTTATGTAGGAAACTGTCATGGCCTCTTTAATATACCTACCCACAAGACACCCTCATCCCCTCAATACATTCCCCAAAGCACCTCACATCATAGCCCCAAGAGCCCTTTGTCCCCCAATATGTACACATCCACAAGATACCTTCCAATATCCTCCAGTACAACCATCAGCCCCACCTCACAACCTACCCTCAATGTTTCCAGGTCCCCCCAACAAACACCCAGACTGTCTTGTTTCCCAATGCATATCCCACCACACACACACACACACACACACAGAACTCTCTTGTCTCCCCACTCCCAATACACACACCCAAGACGGTGAGTCCAATGACTCCAATGTTCCTGCCACCTCGGTCTGGAAGGTTGTTGACCAAACACTGGTACGTGCCAGTGTCCGAAAGCTGGGTGTTGTTGATGAAGATGGAGGCACTGGTGGTTGGCATTGTCCCTGCAAACCCCACTCGCCCATAGAACTGGGGTGCACCACCAAAGATCTGCCCCCCTTGGTAGAGAATAACCTAGAAAAGAAAGAAGGATTGGACATCTCTCTGTACTGGCTGCTGTGAAGAAGCAAAATGTGTATTACAATGAGGGGCAATCAGAAAGGGCCAGCTCCTAATGGACCTTAGTGAAACTGAATGCCAATTGACAGTAGCTCCCATGTGGAGAATGCCAATTGACAGTAGCATCCTGTCTCTAAGGGAGGATTGCTCTGTGATAACACGGAACTCAGCAGTGGCCTCAGAGGCACAGGGTGTGTGTCAATAACACACTGCGACAGGCTCTTTTCTCAGAGGCAACATGCCAGGTTCCCAAGTCTATTTTTCTGACTGGATCTGGGATGTCTGCCTCCTCCTCATTCATGCAATGGTCAGTTTCCACCAGGCGGGATGGACTCTGAGAGAATGAATCTCCATGGCTCCCTGAGCTGCAGCCCTGAGTGTTTTGTTGGAAACAGGCACTGGGGGGTGAGCAGCCAGGGTCACTTTAGTTCTCCCCTTGCTGGAGATGCCCTAACATGATTTGAAACTGCCTGTTCAGTTCATTGCAATGATCCTCACCACCAGGCAGCCAGGCCCCAGGAAGTAACAAAGGGGTACAGTCACTAGTCACCAACTGCTTACACAGCTGGAACAACAACATGAGCTGCTGAAAACCAAACACGCTTCACTGGTGGATTCCAGAATTCACAACTGAACCTCAAGTGCCTAGGGAGGCGAGCTGGCCTGGGACAAGAAAATTTCAGAACAAGGTTTCCTAATGTTTTCTAGCAGTCTGAGCATAAGGCCCAGTGGTTCTCAGACTATGATCCCTGGGCCACCACAGAGATATGGAGGCCCTCCTGATGTCCTTCAAAATGAAACCCTCACAAGCAACAAGCAGTGGGGTGTTAGGAGGACAGGTGGGTCCATGAGAACATCTGTCTCTTAAGAAGTGTTCTGCAGAATGGAAATACTGCAGAACCCCAGTACAAAGGAATCAATCATCCTTTTAGCTTCAGCCTCAACTGCTTCCAGATTCTCCAGAGACACCTCCAAGCCCCCACCTCCCACACCACAGAGTGCCCCAAGCTGGGCCATCCTCCTAGTGCCCCATCCTACCCACAGGATACCTGGAATCCAGAGCAGCTCACTCTACACTGGACACCTGCCCAGTGTGTAAGTCAAAACAGAACAACTTAGGAGACAGGAGACAGGTTAGGTGCCGAATAAGGTAGTGGGGAAAGAATTAGAAACACAAGGCAAGAGTAAGGAACATAGGGCACATACAGCAACATGGGAAGACATGCTGGGACACAGGGTGACAATTGGAGACACGGAAAGATGTAAAAGGACAGAGTCAATATTGGTTACAAAAGGCAACAGAGCTAGATGGGATGACAACTGAGGCACTATAAATTCTGCTAAAGAACCTCAGTCCTGACCTCCATCACCCTACTGCTCCACTGCTGAGCTCTTCCAGAGCCGGGGCAACAGGAATGCTGTGTCTTCTGGGATGTCCCATCCTGAGTCATGAGCTGGTGACACTAATGCTGAAATCCAGCTACTGCACAGTTTTTCTGCACTAGAATCCAGAAGGGTGATCAGACAGCCCACAGCCAACACACGCACCCCTGCCCAAGTGATGTTGATGGGACAAGGGAAGAAAAAGATACAGACAGCTCCATATTCCAATGAAGACTGGTACCTGTTCTGGCTGGTTGGCATTGGAGAGTGGGATGACCATCCAGATGACATTAAGGTTAGTGAGGGCAGCGCTAGTGGTGAAGGTACAGGGCAGGATTGCCGTCTGTCCCCGAGCAACCTGGATACTCCCTGAGCTCACTGACACCTCTAGGGGGCTCACCAGACCTGTAAAGAAAGTGACACAAAGTTCAAACATCTACCCCCTTCCCTGTGTTCTTGCAATGCCACCCTTTTCACGCAGCACTGTACATGAGTGCGGAATGGCACCAGCATTGATTCAGGGGCAGCAGTCCCTTTCCAACCACCACAGGCCAAAAAGGGCGACATCGTCCCCCAGTGCTTTGCAAAATGGAGCCATTCTTCCCAGAGCCATTGCAGAAGGCAAAGGTGAAATGACAGCCATCTTAACTGAGGACATTGTCGCTTCAGTCCCTTTAAAAATAACAGGGCCCATTTTCAAGACAGGGAAAAATCTGCAAGAGAAGCTAAGCTGTCCTAGAGATAATGAGCAGCATTTGAAAACCCACCCAACATCGAGAAAGTGAGCAACTCTGAAACTGCCCGAGAAGGGAAACCAGGTACAAGGGTTTTAACAAAGAGGTAGTGAGACGAGAGAGAGAAACAACTCATGTTAAAAGGAGACATGCAATTAGCCCTCCATTTTTTCTCCAACAAAATCCAGTATGAACAGGAAAGTTTTTGTGATTGTTTTACATTTAAAAGGGTTCAAATAATATCTGTTTTTAAATCCCAACTTCTTTCTATGTGATTATTATGGCTCCTGACGCTGAAAGAACAGATCGAAGCAAAATGACTTTCCAGCATTCATGCCGCTTACTTTTTTTGCATTTTATTCAGCCTGGATAATGCAAGTAGCCTGACCAGCCTCACTTTGACTCCCAGTCGTTTTCAGTTTCCAGCTCTCATGCACTGGCTCAGAGCTGCAACGTTTGGGTTGCAAACCATGCAGGGAGAGATTTAAATCCATACAGCCAAACTCTGCCCATATGAAAATTAACAAGAAAATGCTGCAAAGATTTCTATTAACATTACGTTTTTTAAAGAGTTTTTTTTCCCCTCCCACAAAATCTCAATATTGGGTTGAAACCACCAACTCATAGACTTTAAGGTCAGAAGGGACCAATATGGTCATCTAGTCTGACTCCCGCATGATGCAGGCCACAAAAGCTGACCCCCCCACTTTCCCTTAACTCTGCTGTTGAAGTCTCCAGATCGTGATCTAAAGACTTCAAGTTGCAGAGAATCTTCCAGCTTGCGACCCCTGCCCTATGCTGCGGAGGAAGGCGAAAAACCTCCAGGGCCACTGCCAATCTACCCTGGAGGAAAATTCCTTCCCGACCCCAAATATGGCGATCAACTGAACCCCGAGCATACAGGCAAGATTCTCTAGCCAGACCCTCATTTTACCAGCGATGGCCGTTATTGCCTAATTGACTAAAATCACGTAATCCCATCAAACCATTCCCTCCATAAACTTATCTAGCCTAATCTTGAAGCCAGAGAGGTCTTTCGCCCCCACCGTTTCCCTCGGAAGGCTGTTCCAAAATTTCACCCCTCTGACGGTTAGAAACCTTCGTCTAATTTCAAGCCTAAATTTCCCCACGGCCAGTTTATATCCATTCGTTCTCGTGTACACATTAGTACTGAGCTGAAATAATTCCTCTCCCTCCCTGGTATTTATCCCTTTGATATATTTAAAGAGAGCAATCATATCCCCCCTCAGCCTTCTTTTGGTTAGGCTAAACAAACCAAGCTCCTCGAGTCTCCTTTCATAGGAAAGGTTTTCCATTCCTCGGATCATCCTAGTGGCCCTTCTCTGTACCCGTTCCAGTTTGAGTTCATCCTTTTTAAACATAGGAGACCAGAACTGCACACAGTACTCCAAGTGAGGTCTCACCAGCGCCTTGTATAACGGAAGCAGCACCTCCCTGTCCCTACTAGAAATACCTCGCCTTATGCATCCCAAGATCGCATTAGCTTTTTTCACAGCCACAACTTGCATCACTTTAAATGTCACTCAGTCCCTCTCATGTTTAACATATACATGAGGCCTCTAGGGGGCACAGTAAGGCATTACCAGCTATCAGATCTTATCAGGATGCTGATAACACTCAGCTGTACATCTCCAGCCTATGAAAGGTGGTCAGAAATTTTCCAATGGAACATTTTTCTGCTCGGAGGTGCCCATGTGGGTTGAAATCAATATTCTGGGGGAAGTGTTGATTTCTACAAAGTATCAATGGAAAACAGACAGATTTCGACACCTGCCTGGTTTCCTGCCATCTTGCCCACTCAGCCTCGTTGGCAGCCTGGCTGGCGGGCTAATGGGGAACAAGGAGCTTGGAAGTCATAGGATCCTTGGCTTTCAGTTCCTTGGCATCTCCCGCTCCCTGGTTCCCCAAACTGTCCAGTTCCTGGGGCTCCAGGCAGCTCTGGGAGTCTTAGAAATGTTTTGAGAAGGTCAGAGTGACATTTTCGAATTCCCCTTCTGCAGGAAATTTCAAAATGTTATTTGTCTGCCTGTTTCAAAATGATGTTTTTTATTTAGAATTTCAGAATTTCCTGCTGAAACATTTCAGCCAGCTCTTGTCCTACTATCGGAGAGAACTTGGAGCTATGGGAAGAAACAGCTGGCTTAAGTTCAAGCCAGCAAGCTACTATCAGGGGATGCTGGCAGTAAGCAGAAATAGTTTGAAGCGTGAGCAGGCATGACCTCCCCTCAGTACAGGGTCTCTGCCTTCAAACCACTAAGGCAAAACGCAAACTTAGGATCCTTTTGGATTCCTGACTTGCTCAGTGATGGCCACGCAACACTAGTAGCCAAAATGCCAATAGAAGAATTTCCCAATCGGTTTGTGAACAATTCACAAAAAGAAAGAAAATGGGGATTATTCATCCAGCTTTGAATGCGAGCCTGACTTGGAATAATGACCACCCAAATGGGAAGCAAAGCAACCACCGCACTCCAACGTCTACACTGCAAAAAGGTGTGCTAACCCAGGTTAAAATAGCAGCAAAGACACGGCAACTTGGCTTTTAACTCAGACTGGCAGCACGAGTTCAACCCCAGGCTTCCCTAAAGCCTTTAACTCAAGCTGCTAATCTGAGTTAAAAGCTGAGTTGCCGTGACTTCACTACTCTTTGAATAGCGTAGCTGAAGTTGCGTATTTTAGGTCGACTTACCTGGCTGTGAGGACGGCGGCGAGTCGACCGCTGCCGCGCCGCCGTCGACTCCGCTTCCGCCTCTTGCCGCGGTGGATTTCCGGAGTCGACGGAAGAGCCATCGGGGATCGATTTTATCACATCTTCACTAGACGCGATAAGTCGATCCCCAATAGATCGATTGCTACCCGCCGATTCGGCAGGTAGTGAAGACGTGCCCCAAGTTAACTAACGTGGGTTAGCTAACCCAAGTTACGAATATGCCTGTTTTGGCAGTGTAGGCAAACCCTGAGTTACCAAAGCAGCCATGGAACAGGTACCTGCTGTGTAGGAGGAATGGGGCTCCTTGTTATCCCTGGCATTTGTTATCCCATGCAGCTCTGCCAATGCCCCTCACTCTTGATCTGCAGCCTCTCCTACTATTCCAGTCCTGGGCTCCCCACACACAGCTCTGCCAATGCCCTTCACTCCTGCCCTGCAGCCCCCACCCCTCTGGTATTCCAGTCCCTGACTACTCTTCCAAACAACTGCAATGCTGAAGTGCAACACTCCCAGCTATTCCAGGACACTGTCAATCAGTGCGGCTAAACTGTGTGGTAGGTTTTAGAAGAGGGCACTAGGGGATAGCGGAGACCCAAACACATTTCATTTGCCTAGGGTACATCTCTGAACCTGGATGTGCAGTATATGAATTCAATACATGGCCCGATACCTTCCCTCCTCGCTGAGCTGCTCCACTCTCACTTTGCCACCTTGCCCCATATTTCAGGAGCTGCCATCGCCCGGAGTGTTCCAATGCTGTCAGCTGCTCTTTGGCCCTGAGTGCCCATGATGCAGGAGGCAGATAAAAGACAAAGATTCATGTTGCTAAACTAAGTGGCACCTGCAGGGCTACAGCTGGGGAAAACACACACAACAGCTTCTGACAAGCAAACTTAACAAAGGTGACAGGGGAGCGGGAGACTGTGTGTGTGCAGAGTTATCCTGCACCAATGTAAACAGCGAGACCAGCACACACACAGCACCAGGGAGTCATTACTACAAAGTGACTCCTCTGCCAGGGAGACAGTCTAATGCAGAGCAGAAACAGCAAAGATCAAATGCTCTTTACAGGCTCCTCATTTTAGCAAAAGTCCCTTTTATTTATATCTCAGACAAATAAAAATTATTATTATAAATATCCACACATGGAGAAGCACACACCCCATCGGTAGACACGCACAGACACACCAACACAAAGACACATGCAAACACAATAATACACATGCCCCAACACTGCCAGATGCATGTGCTGACACGCAAACACAGACACGCATGCAGATGCACTCCCATTACTATAATGTGAAGGGTTACACGTTTAAATGTTTAAAAAAACAGGAGTTGCAAGTGTCTCGTTCCCACATTGACATGAACTTGGCCCATTATCTAACCAGGGGGATGTAGATTTTGCACTTAACATAAATATTAAGGTTTGGATTTTCAAAGCAACCTAAGGGAATTAGGTGTCCCATTTGGGTAGCTAAACCCCTTAGACTCCTTCAAAAATCCCAGCCTAATATATCGAATTATACACCAGAACATAAAGCAACAGAGAACTCAGTGAAAGCTGTGTTAAAGGTTCTCCCTTTAGTAAATGAGCATCCCCAAGCATTCAACAAGCTTAAACTGCCTGTCAGAGGCAACCACCTCTCCCCTGTAAGCAACAATCACCTGGAATCGATTCCAGGTACAGTAGCCTCTCTGAGCTTTGGACTTCAATGCCCATAGGTGCACACTGGATATTCACAAGGGTCTCCTGACTTACACTGGTGTCAGTGGAGTTAGACTGATACAAACCGGTGTAAGTGAGAGGTGAATCCAGCCCACAGCCTGTGCACAAGAGACTGCACTTTGCTTTACATTTTGGTCCTGAAGCACCGGGGTGTTTCTGTGTCACCAACTTCTAGGGGAACCAGCTGGCAGATTGATGTTTTGGCTACAAG